AGCTTGGATCGGTTTTTAAAAAAGATCCATCAAGATGGTTAACAAATAATTGTATTGCATTTTCTTATTCAAATTCTATATATATATTTTCATTATTATTGTTGTTATTATTAGTTGATTACCTATCATTGCATTTTGCTAATTTTGATTCCTGCGAAATTCGCGCATTGGACAAGCAAAGTATCTAGATAAGCAAAGTGTTAACCGTGTTACTTAAGGGATGTCTGCAAGCTCATTGTCACGCTCGTATACAAGGCGCTGTGCGTCGGTTCGTATAAAGAGCTGCACATTGCGCCAAGCCTGTGCGCCGCGTGCTCCCGCCGCTGAATTAATAATCGAACTTACGTGGGTAGTTGCTCGTCTACCGGGTGTCTGCGCTCGTACATGCTCGATGAAGCGCCAACGAAGGTAAGCGCCACTTGACCACGCGACGAGTGAAAAGTCGCCTGAAAATAGAGGAAAGCAGCGTTAAGACGGCGGTGGTAAGTTCAGATGGCGATGAATTGAAGATGATAAGAACCGCGGTGGAAAGTATATCACTAGCATCTTTCTGGGGTACTTGGTAGGCAAGGGTGATAAATAAAGACTGATAAATAGGCACGTTATGTGCACCACTGGTTGTAAAAGTGGCTTAAGCGGAAAGTCGAAGGGGAGGGAACTTCATTTAGTTCGAGATTAGTTGAAGTATAACGGAATAGCGCAAAACCTACGATTTCGAGTGAACAACTGAATATGACAGTATTGGGAGAAGGTCCTAATACAATATATATAATCAGCGACACGCGTAATGAATAGATCGTACTTCTTTCCTGACACCTTGCATTGTAACAGAATACGCATACAAAGAAGCAAGTGAAACCTACAGAAACTTAGATTTAAACGAAACAATTGCACCTACTAGAATATTTAATTAGACAGAAAATAGCGACGACATTAACGTTTAATACTATGTTTTATCCATTTGCATTGCAAAATGTAGCAAAGAGTAATGCTTCTGTTTCATGGAAACTAACAAAGGTGGACTACTGACCTACGTAGTATGATACAAAATAAAAACCAGATACGTTCAAACATTTGTGAAAAACCTTTAGAAACTACTGTACTCGCTGAACAAGTTTAACCCGCTTAACGCGCAAATAGTTGTGAATTAGTAAGTGAGTACTTCTACCCTATGTTCCATAGCATGGAAGGATATTAAGCAGCTAGAAGTGCGCAAAATTTATGTAGCTAGCATATTAAGGATAGCGTTACAAATTCAACCGGTTAATCTGACGGGACGGTAAACGAGTATATCGGTCGAAAACACACAAGCGACATGAAAAATTTATAAATTCATAGAATTTGTTACACGAACGGATTCCGTGAAATACATAACAAACGCGATATCAAATGAAAGATGCATCGAGTTCCAGTTTTCGAATGGCCCAAGTGAAGACCGAGTACAGATAAATTAAGTATACAAATAAAAAAAATAATTCCATGTAGAGATTAATTTAAGAAACATCGAAAACCGGAGTACATCGAGTGTCACCATTTCTATGCGTAATCGAGTCATTGCCATTACAAACAATTGGCATGATTCATTTTTTACTTAACGCGAATTAAAAAATGCGTACATGACTTTAGGAAGATTGATAATTCGATCGATAACCAATGACTCGAGTATGACGCGTTTCAACGAAGCGATATTTCGCGAAGTTTCTCGAACAGCTGCGAATAATTTACTCTAGTTCGTTTCGCGATTACTCAAGTTCGAAAAATGTGTTAGTATATTCCATCGATAGCTTCTTAGAAGAGAATAGCAGTGATAATAATGACGAACAACGCAGAGGAAGGCAGTAATTTAGTTCTTAATTTTCGAAACTGGTCCGAAAATGTCTCCAGATGCACTAACCTAAAACATCAATTATCTAGAAATCTATTCATCGGGCAATGTCATGGCTTATATAAGTAAACATGACAAATGGTAGAGAATATTATATGAAAAGTTTTACCTCGATATCGCAATTCGATTTTGAGTTATTAAATGGTCACTTTTTCCACCAGACGACTGCTCGAACTCCGCTCTCCCGGTCTCTATCGAAGAAACGCGCGCGCGCACGTCGAAACTACACGATGTTCATTGTGCCAATAGCTTCTTACACGATTAAACCACTAGAAAATGTAAAATTTGTCAGTTTCGGTACATCGTTTCCAATGGCCATTAGGTAACTACGAAGTAATTAAGCGAAATGAATGTTGGTTATAATCTACGAGCCAACAGTAAACTGTATCGATAAAATCAAGATGGCCGCCAATCAACAAATCGATCGATATTTGATTGCCAACCTCCAAATATCTGTTAATCGAACGGTGGCAAACGATGCAAAGGCGATGGATTAAAAAGTCGATACGCGAGATGTATCGATTCTCGTATTCGTGGAATACCAAACGGTTTGCAACGCTGATTGCTTTTGACAGATAGCCTGTACGATATTGGAATGATAAAAAAGAATTGTCATGAATATTGAATATTGTTCGATCTTACGTGTGCAACAAACCAACGATTCCACGCAACGTTGCCGCGCATATCGTTTCATAGTTTGCAGAATCCGTTACACTTCGATCCATTTCGTGGCATTCGCGATCGATAATCTTCGACACGATGTTCCGAGTGATACGTACGCCATGTTCAACGTCAAGCGTTTCCTTTTATCTCACTATGCTGCCTGTTCATCTACGCCACTCGTTATTTCTAAATCCATTCGAAACGTCGACACTTAACCGGTACCCGATTTGTTTTTAACGTCACACGTGATCCACCGCCATGAAGCATGGGACAGGTCATAGACGCGATGCAACGTAGATGCGCAGCATGCTGTTCATCCTTTAAAATAAAGCATCATAGAAAGGACTTCGTTGTTCGATAGGGGATTTTTAAGCGGGCACGGACGTATCACTCGATTTAGATCCACGAAGAACGCGCCACGCCCTGCTTTCGACGTTGCCGTGTCCGCGATGGACGGCCCGCATAATGAGAAACACGAATCAGTGGCCTCATCGTTCTCCCGTATCTTTGGTCGCGTGCGCTGCGGCTCCGTGCGCGTTTGCCCTTGCTTATCGCGTTCTTGCGCAGCTTTAATTAGCTAGCCGCCATCTCTTGGTCACTACTCTACTTCTACGTACCCGCTAGTTCTTTTTATTCGTTTCGCAATCATATCTCTTCGCCCGTAGCCATAAAAGCGGTATAGAGGCGCTGCCAGCGTACGTATATACGCGAAACTCGCGCGAATTTGGATGAACCATAGAATATATTTATCGAGATATCGGTGAAAACGCATGGTTACGCGATTCGCTAATTTGGAATTTCCCCATTACGCGATCGATATTAGATTCTAAAATTAAGTCGATTCTCAAACTGAGATTTTTCGGCAATAGACGTGTAAACGATCGTGCGAAATTATGTAAGAAAAGAAGTAAATGGTTGGCGTTGGAACCGTTTCGGAATAGTAAATAATTCGACGCAGGTTGAAGCGTAATCCTAAAGCTGGTATTAAGGAGATTAAGGAGGTTACTTTAAAAGCGCGAACTGCAGCAACGACAACGACGACGACGACGAAGAACAAAGGAGAGCATTGCTTATGCAGGGGAAAGAAGGAAAAGGAGGGGACGTGCCATAAGCTGCGTACCCGTGGCACGCCATCTACATCGGCTTTGTGTATTCCATGGTTGCGCAATAGCGCGCGACTCGAGAAAGCCGCGCGCGCGACGCACGCTGGCATTTTTGCTTTTGTACGTCGGTCACACAGGGTTGCGCACAACACTTGGGTACAACAATTGATTGCGCTTCAAAGGGAGGCGAAACTCGAATCGGCTGGGAAAAGGGAGGGAGGGGGAAAAACGAAGTCGTAAAAGAGGGTACGCAACACCCATCCCGCAACAAGCCGGCCGAACAAGGGCACACGAGGCAAGAGAGACGGATTACGAACATTACACAGCCAGACGGAGGAAAGGGAGAAGGGTGGAGAGGATGGAGAGAGGGCGGAAGACGTAGACAAAGAGACGAAGAAAGGGGAAAGGTGCATGCGATGAGATAGGGTGGGGAAGAGGAAAGGAAAGGAAGATCGGTCTCTTGGTGCAGAGCGTAGTGGTTATAAAGAGAAGCGGCATCGCTGCACGGCTACTTGGCTCTCCAGGGCCAGGATATTTCAATACCGACGGTGGTCGGCCACCGCCGACGTGGCTACGGAGAGGGGAAATGCCTGTGACGATGTGCGCTCGTACATATATATATATATAATATATATGTAAATGTATATATGTACTTCCCCTTATGCCCCTCACCCACGTGCACGCCCTACGCGACAGCACATACGCGATATATACGGCTTTACACACCCGTGGGCGTTAAAGAGAAAGAAGGAAAGAGAGAGAGCGAGATATGACCGGTGGCACGGTAGCGCTCCGCTATTCGGGTTTCCTGCACGAGGGGAAGAGTGATGGGGAGGGAGAGAATTTGCTGTCTCTGTTTTAACATACACAGAGGGGGAAAGTTGCGGCAAAACGGAAAGGCTGTTGTCGAGGGGAACGCAGGGACGCGCGCGGCGCGGCGATGGGGACCTCGAACTGAACCGTCGACCGACGATTGTCCATGAGCCCGCCTTCTCGACGAGTCGAGGGGAACGGACGTGGGCTGTGCCACTCGTCGATTGGTCGTTGCGCTGTGCGGGGTTAGAAGCGTTGGTGGCGCCTCGAGAATCCCACCAATCGAGCGCCACTGTCGTGGCTTTTTTATCCTGCTATTTACGCCGAAGGACGGAGAAGAGCAGGCTCCCCCATCTGACTCTCTCACTCCTTTTCTATCCCTCTCCTTTTCCTTCGCTCAACCGCTCTCCCTGTGTGTTCGTCGGCACGGGAGAGGACACTCTCGTTTCGGGATCCGTTGAGGTTGCACACGTTTTCACCAACAGCGCCGCCCGTTTACTGCGACGCGCTCTATTCTACGACGATCTTACTCGATACGGTGTATTATCGTTATAACGAGTTTGCGATTTTGTTGGATAATCCATTTCAAACGTCTGTTTACTGTAAAAGCATCGTATGCGACGGCCGATGCCGTGCGGTAGTGTTATGTAGTGTGTGACAGTACGTCGCAAGAGGATACAGTGTTGCCAGATCGTGGGCGCGAATACACGGCAAAAGCGGTACGTCGATTTGCGAAACATCGTGGTTATACCGCGCGTACGTTTCTAGGACATTGCAGCTGAATCGTTTCGACTATAACGGTGAATTATAAAGGTAAAGACGGCAAGTGGATTTTCGAGTTTATCGGGTAATACGCCAGTGACATTTGGTGCGGTGCTATCGACGAAATAGAGTTGGCAACGTTGCATCGACTGCTCTCGCACACAAATATACGCATACACGTACCTAGAAGGGAACTTGGGGTGGCTGGCTAGCAGGCAGGCGGCAGGCAGGCAAGCAGGCAGGCAGCTTTCTTGTTCCGAGGACGGCGCTCCTGGTCGCGCCGTCTCTCTTTTCTACCTCCATTGCGCTTGCTCTTCTCTCCCTCTTCTCCCTGCCCTTCTCGTCCTCGGTCACTCAATCACACTCTCCTTCTTTTGCTTTCTCTCTCTTTCTCTCTCTCGTGTGCGGCGCACGTACCGTTGAGAGTTTCTCCCTTCCCCTTCGATACTCTTTCTCTACCGTTACCCCCTCCCCTCCTAACCTCGAGCGGGTCGGGCGAGTCCACTAAGCTTGCGAGGGGAGTTCGGCAGACCTCGGCTCTAGTCGGCCTCGATCCGCAGAATGTGCTAGACGCTGTGAGTCGATCGCTCCAGTTTTTGAATATTCGTATATAGAGAGGCTGTACGGTGTTCACGGGGCTCGAAAACGTAATTCCGCACATCGTACACGGATCCACAAGTTGCTAGTGCCTATATCGACGTTAGTTTTCACCATCAGTTTGGGACGCACTCGATCAGCGTATATCCGTACGACGGCCATGTTTGGTGTTTACGAGGTGAGGGGGAATTGCTGACGTCACGAACCCCGATCTTGCACGAAGGGAGCAGCAGCACCAGCAGAAGCAGAAAACGTGTTGCCGGCCAACACGGACACTAAGTCCGACACGACTTCGAAACGAAACGAAACGGAGTCGAGTGTCCCGAGTGCTCGACTAATATCGTACACAGGATCGTTGTGCGGTGAACACACGAAGAAGAAACTCGCGGCGCGCAAACTGTGCCGCTTGAAATTCCCTTCCCGATGGGACGTGCGTGTACGCCGACTTCGCTCGTGTTCGCCGGTCTTGCCGCGACTACTGGCCTTTCAAAAAACATCGGCCGCATTGCCGCCTCACTGCTGAAATAGCAGCCACTCTAATCACCGTCGGTCGACTCTGATCAGTGCGGAAAACATCGAGCGATGCCGAGTGTTCTCGTATACGAGACAACACGTGCCGCATCTTCTTTCACATGATTCTCACCGAAAATGTTTAGCACATCGAGGATGCGATCAAATTGATCGCCCTTCAAAAACACGTGCTCACGTCGTATTTCATGTGCTGTGTAACATTTTTTGCGCCGAAACGCCAATAGTGCTACACAAATTCAGTGAAATTAGCGCTATATTTTCTTTCGTGAAACAACCGTTGTCTCAATTGTTTTATTGTGTTTACGGTGTGTCAACTCCGTTAAATTAGAGCATCGTGCCCGATTCGGTGTCGGTACATATGGTGTTACATTACTCGGTGTGGTTTCTTAGTGACACGCATCACATTCTTATTGGATATATTAACAGCTTTCATACGCATCTAACAAACAAGGATTAAAACATCATGGATCTAGGTGACAGAGTTTACGCTGCGGAACGGATTACGAAGAAGAGGGAAAAGCGGGTAAGTAAGAGAACTGCGAACCGTCACCGGCAGATAGCGCCACTACATGGAATCTGTTTGTCTATGCGCCGTTGCCGGTTCCTCCCCTCTTCGCGATCTTTCTCTTTCCCACTATCGTTCCGACAATTCTGCCCCTCCCGTAGCGATTTCTATCATGTACGATGCTCTCGATATCTCTCATCGAACTCGACAGGCACGTTTTATTGGTTCATAATCATTTTACGTCAAACGCGACATTTGCCTATTTTTTTCTATCGTAAACATATCTGTAAACATTTATACGTCGGTTTATTCGTTTTTGAAACCATAAATCCGATATTTTATTTAAAGATGTATTGACAAGAGATATTACATCTATCTTTCCAGAGAACAATTCTCAGAATCATCTTGCGTTACGCGTATAAGAATTTTCTTTCGTTTATTATCGCACCGAACTCTGTATTGATACATTCGTCTCGAAACGATCGTAACTTATGCAAGAATTTATACGTTTTTACTGCGCCGGTGATCCTCGAAGTACGGTAACGACGCTGGTCGAGGCTGGCAACGTTGTAAATCGACATAAAACACGCGAGACTTCTCAGCTGCGAGCGGCTCATGCGCGATAAACCGACGTGTCCTATACCTGCACAGTTATGTCATTGTTTTCCAACTGTCACACTGGCTGCGCACCTCGACCGGTCGGCATGCTTTCGTTCGTTGGCCGACGGCCAATAGGTGAGCCGTATGAGCGGCTCTCGTGGAAGTCAACGCCGCCCGTTTTATCGACCGTACGCTCCTACGAGATGGATTCGAAAATCCGCCGTTTGACGCAGACGCGCGAAACGGATCTTTGTGATCGGCCACATTCTGACGTCGTGGCCAACGACGACTGGCGCCAATGGTTCTTTTATCGGTCGACAAGTTAGGATAAAGTCGTAGATCTGCCCCATAGTTCTAGTCTTCGCATTTATGTCACACATTTGCAACTTCAGAACACTACGGTTTGATAGAGGTTATAATAATCTTGTGGATTTCGAACAAGCAGGTGTTCTGTTTCTTTGCTTTCCGTAGATGCGGAAATGGAGAAACGATTTAGGAGATGTTTTGTTAGATTCGATATACACGAAGAAATTCCTGTACTTTTCATTGTTTCCTTAATTGGAATTTGACAGAATATACGATTCGTTGGAATTATGGGTAATCTTTTCGATACTATATGTTTTCGATTGTCACTTCGATTGGTTATATCGATATATGTATCGATACATTTCAAATAGCAATGTGCTTGCTTCAAATTCCCTAGAAGCATGTATTTTACAATTCTCATATTTCTCATATTTACGTATATCATAAGACGACATATGTTGCCAAATATTATACTAGAGCAGTTTAAGTATGTTCGTAAATTTATGAAGCAATTTGAGAAGTTAAAATATTGTTAGTAATTTTTTATGAGTGCTAACAACTTATTTATTACCCTCATAAGGTGCACAATTGTCAAATTCAGTTTCATATTTTATCGTTATTTTATGAATATTTGTGTGTGAATTATCTTGGCTTTTTTCTTTTTTAGGGCAAGGTAGAGTACTTTGTGAAATGGAAAGGATGGAGCAAGAAGTAAGTAAGGGATAAAGTCGATAATGTTTTTAATAGATCGATGAAAACAAATTATAAACATAATTTTCGCCTCTTGTAGGTACAACACGTGGGAACCGGAAGAGAACATTTTAGACGTCAGATTAATCGAATTATACGAAGAAAGTCAAAAAGGTGGTGATGTAACTACGAGAAGACCAAGGCGGAGGGATACTAGATATAATGTAAATAAATTGTTCATTTTTTATTGGAAGTCACGCTATCCCTCATTTGTAGAATTATATAAATTCTTTTAATTCGAATCTTCAAATTCAAATTTTAACATTGTGATTACCTAAGTTCTCAATACGTTTTTAATGAAGTAAAATTTTTAAGAAATAAATTTACATTACGTTAAACATTTTTTAAATATTTTTGGAATGTGACGATCATTTTATTCTTTTTATAACTTTTTTATGAAAATCGTTATATAAATATTGCAACGAATTGAGCAATTCTCCTATATCAGGAACAAGTTCTTGCCAACTTGGTCGTCGAAGAAGAGCCAGGTGGAGACGAGAGAGTCGGAGAAGATAGCCAAGACGAGTCGACTACTGGTAGCACCTCTGCTCCTCGCCTAAATCCCGTTGCACCTGACGAAGATACGCTTCCGAGTTCCCTCGACGGACACGAATCGCCCACAGCCCCATTATCGGCATCGTTGAGTGTCGATTCAGACAGTTCGAATAGCAGTGTAGACAGTCCTCTGTTACCGAGGAGAGAACCGACTGGTACAAAGAGGAAGGCTGAGGTTCTTAGCAAAGAATCGGGAAAAATCGGTGTTACCATCACGACGAGCAGTCCCAGTAGTGGTAGCGGAAGTCCTCCGCCAAACAAGATCCCTCGCCTGTTACCTTTGAAAAGTAATCCAACATCTCCCTCTTATCACGTAAGTATTCATTCGTTTCTAAATCGGTATTGTCGTGAATTTATTCCTTATGAAAATCGTTCGAAATCTATTTGTAGCTATTCAGTAATTACTGTTCATGGACGTCGGGGAAAAAAATGTATAAAATCCCATGTTAAACAATATAATTTCTGCTGTATGGGACAACGTAACTTCCATCTTCAAAGTTTCGAAGTCTATGAAAAACGTGTAAGAAAGAATTCCATTATAACCTAGATATCCCAAATGCGTTTCAGAGTCATAAGGTTAACGGCAGGAGGCCGTCATCTTCGAGCGTGAAGTCAACACCAGAGGAACCACTGCCGGCAGTGCCGACAACGCCAGCTCCAGCGGTGCAGGAGAAAAAGCGAGCCGAAGCCGACGTGCCTCACGGTCCTCCACCCTCGCTGCCGCGTGCACCACCGGCACCTTTATCCCCCCAAATAGACACTCCTCTGGAACAGCCTACCAAAAAGAGGCACTTGTCTGAACAAAAACAAGAGAAGTCGAACGGAGCTGTGACAGTGGACGCGAATGGTCACAAGTCACCTAGCCCTACAGATTCGTATACGAACAACAACAGGTTACCGACTGTTGTCAATGGACATCATAGTCACAATAATAACAACAATCATACCAACAATAACAATAATAACAACACATCGAGCGTGAAGCAAACGGAAATCACGAAGACAGACATATATGTCCCTCTCTCGAGTCCTGGTACGGATTACTGGCATGCAAGGAATCCAGTTGCCGATCAGGTGTTCATTACAGACGTGACGGTGAATCTGAAGACCGTTACCATCAGGGAGTGCAAGACTGAAAAAGGATTCTTCCGGGAGAGGGATCCCAAGAGCGATATCTATTAACGACCTTCGAATAAGGACGTTTTACTGTGAATTTCTAATACTGAACCACGCTTGTAAATATAAATTATTTTCACACATTGGAGTGTAGAGTCGAGGATGATGAATATGTATATTGACGGTATTGACCTATATATGGAAACATTTTTTCTGAAAATGTAAGACGGCGAACACTTTTTGGTGATTGCGAAGAGAATCGAGGTTATATGTAATTACGAAAAAATTTATCAACTCGCAGTTTCCGGTACGTTGTACATTCTGAACGAAGTTCCAAGAACCTCCAGAAGCAAAAAGTACGTGAACCTAGAATTCAATATTTGTCGATACGATATCCTGTGGATTTGATTGGAGACAAAAATCGCGAATGGTCAGTTCCGGTGTGTAGAATAGAAAACTATTGTGTAAATCAGCGGATAAAAGATAGTGAGACTATCGTCATGCGACATCTTTATGCGAAAGAACAACGGTACGTTATTATGAGTCGCTGTCACATCGTGATATACACTTGTACATTTTAAAAACGCTTGATAGACCGTAATTCTCTGTACTAAAACAGAAAAGATGCAAAAAGATCTGAAAGAAACGTTTTAGAGAATAAATACATTTTCTTATTGATTGCATTTCCGCTTGTATTAGAATTCTGCAGAAATAATGGAATATCCTGTAAATTAGTTAATTTCAAATTTTACTATGATAAAATAGTACAGATCTGGAAAGAAATATTTTTCTAATTCGTTTTTAGAATAATCAAAGCAGCTTCGTAGAAGCGATTTAAGAAAATACGAAAAAAAATTTTCGAGTATAGGGACGAGAAAAAAAAAGAACTAATGTTATCTTGATAACGTATTTCTCAGCATTATGATATTACATTGTATTTAACGATAAATATTACTCTCTTTTTTCTCTTTTTCTTAGCGAGTAATATTGTCACAAAACGGAAAGAGATGTTTCATTCATTCGTAGATTTTAGATTTGTTTAGAAACACGAATGCATTATCGATTTTTTCAACTTGTTATAATACACACGTACAAATAAACAATCAAACCACACACACATACACACATACACAGAGCAAAACGAACAGTTCAATGCACAGTGACAAACAAGCAGAAAAAGGGGAAGAAAACGATGTACGTTATCAACGACATAGTACGCGATAACTTTATAATCTGTATAACGTGTTCTATATCGGTTGTCGGTGTTTTTGTTACGAATCGATTACATATTGTTTAAACGTGTTAGCTGTTGCATTTTTTTTATACCGTCAAATGTGTTTTCTTTTTCTTTCTTTGTTTATTTTCATTCGAATTTAAGGACTGACTGCGCATCATACGTTTTTACGCGCACGACATTTAATTCCAATGATATATGTACATATATATCGAAAAATATTTATGCATATCTTTGAGAGAGCGCCATTTTATTTTTTAAGATGGGTTGTCGAAATGTATTCACCAAATAGAGATGTTCCTACCTCGAAAACGGTCATCTTGAACAGAGAATCGAGTACAACAACCAAATTCTAACAATCTTTATTCAAGCTAATTAATTAATGTCGCAAAAGGCCCTTTTCGGACATCCTAATTTACTTTTCTCTCGTTTTTTATTTTAATGACTTTCGCTGCACCGTACAGTTGGCGCGCGTGTGCACCACTTTCAGAACCAGTAAATCCGTGATATAGTTAATTGTATAAGCGTAAAACTTAAAAGAAAAAATCATATACGTTGCTTATTTATTGTAACTAATATAAAGAAAGAAAAGTTTTTAGGTTTTTACATTCTTAGTATAGTATTATTAGACTGTGTATGCAATACGTCCCATTTGATGTGAGAAACAAACCTCGTTCGAGTGTCTTTTCTTCTCTGTCGTACATCAAAATTAAGAAGCTTTTGTCAATTATAATTTCAAGTATCTCGACATATTCGCAACGAACTGTCAAATATCTATCGTTAATATTTTGATTTCTCAATAGATTGCGTGTACGACCAATTTCCAAAAGAAAAGCAGAACGATAATGATTTATCTTTTTGAAAAAAGAGTCAAAATGGGACTGTTTGTGTGCAATTAGGTCGCGCGGTTCCTTACAATGTCCATTGTAAGGGATTTGAATACACGTTTATTAAATTGTTGTGTAATGTAAACCAACACACTCTGTATATTGAGAGAGAAATATTCTGTAAAAATTGTACATAGTCGGACACTTACAATTCTATGATAATAATAATGGAGTGAAAGAGAACGAGTGTGAGTGAGTGAGTGAGTGAGAGAGAGAGAGGAAGTAAGAATGAAAGGGAATGCGTAGCTTTAGACCTTTCAGTTATCATAATTGTAAATAGAGAACGGAAGCAAAAACCCCTTTAAGTTGTAAATGTAAAATCGCAGAACTGCAGGTCTAGAGGAAATCCTTTTTAGCTTTAGAGACTTTGAGATAGACTGTGCGCGTACCTTCAACATTGTTTCTGTACTTATAGAATATTCAGTCTCTACTTATAACGATTAAAAAAAACACACATACATACACATACACACGCATACATATACACAAACGGAGGGCGGAAAAAAGTGGAAGATAACCTAGCGATTACGCAGGCATATACGATATGTGAACCCCGGTAGTACCAAATTCAAACGGTAATTTTAGTTCTGTCTGGTACAGATTCCTTATATTTCAATAAAATCTTTATTTGAATTTTTGCTCGCGTGCAGTACTTGTTTTCCATCCACTCAAAGCCGAATAATATATGCGCTTTATTTATTAATGCAGCCTCGAAGCCTGATCTGTTTTTCTTTTTCTAAGTTTCCATTTATGTTACTACCCATAATGTGTAAAGTTAAGGGAGAATAAAGCAACAATTACTCGAAAAAGTTTCCTTGAACAGAGTATGTGTTATGCTTGATACTAATGTGTTCAGTTTTTTACCATTTTCTTTCGTTTTATTAATATAAGAATATTATTAGACAATAAATGAATGATATTTAGTATTAATAGTTTTAAAGAAATAATATATGATGTACACAACATGAATTGTACAAAGATGCGATGCTTGGTAAGTCGAAATTTGAAATTGAATTGAGGAAAAGTTAGATATATTTATTTAATTAATTTTATCGACACGATACGATTAATAAATAAGTTATCCACTGTTGGTTAAGTAGATTTTCTACATTTCGAAATTATTATACCAACATAAGGTATACAAAATTTTAGTACAATTATCAATATATTAAATTATATAAGATACTGCTAGATGTCGCTCAAATAAAATTTCAAATGTTTCAATAGTTTAATATATTTTGAATATATAGAAAATTCTTAGAAACACATTCTGTTTGACTATATTCTTATTCATGTACATCAAATATATAGGTAATGCAATCATACAACAAACCTAATTTTTGGTTTAATCCAAAAATACACTAGAAAAATATTATAATTCTTTTACATGAAGTTGTATCCCACTAGGTACTTTTTTCGATGCGGGTGGACAAGTGTTAACGTGAACTTCGTTTTAGTATTTGGATACAAGAACAAGCCATGTGATCGGCTTTTGGTTTGGTTACTTCAAGTTTAACACGTGTAGTTGTCAAAATATTACTTTCTTACATGTATATTTTGTATCTTATTCTGTCATTAATATATGGGGTACACAGTACTGTGTGTAATTATCAAGAACATTAACCTCTTACGAGATAGGTGACAAAATGCAGATGAAATTGAATTCACGACGCGGAACTGCAAATATTGAAGTAATAGATGTCGATGATTTAGTTCTTACAAGAAAAGGTGGAGGTAGTATAATTGATCAACGGCCAGTATTTTCTCACGATGGAGAGTGAGTTTTAATTCAACATATACAAGAATTATTATGTCTTTCAGCCATTAAATATGAAATTTATAGTATCAATTACAGAGTTTATTTTAATATATAAAAATATATTTTGTTGAATTTATTAGTATACTATTATAAATGTCATAGTATGTTATTATAAAGGATATACTATTATACTTGATAAAACAAATTTATAGTTAATATTTTCAATAAACAATATGAACTTGTTGCAGAATATTGTTCATAGTATGGAAACATGTTATAAGGGCTTATAGTACCCAAACTGGAGACTTTGTAAAAGAGCTTGAGCCAGCAAATCACAGAATTGCAGGATTAATTGTACATCCTGAAAATCCTAATTGGATTATTGCCTGTACAGAAAATGGAGAACTAAATTTTTGGAGTTGTCAAAGTGGCATTATCACAAAGAAATTAGTATGAATATTAAATGTATTTTCTAACAGTATAAAATTATATTCCTTCTTGAAGCTTTCATGTAATAACTTTATCGTTATTATTATCCTCTTTACAGAAATTGAAATTTCAAGAAGATCCAAAAATAAAAACATTTCACATTGTAAATTATAAAACTCACAAAGGAAATGAATTGCGGCAAGTACTTGTTACGTACATTTCCAAATGCAATACAAAAATTTACATAGTTTTATTCGATATAGATAATGGAGTTTGTACAAAGTCTACATGTATACAGTAAGCAAAACTTTCTTCCTAATAAGAAAATAATTACAGGTTTGTTAGTAATTATTGATTGTATTTGTTTATCATTATAGAACAAATTCACATGAATATTATATTGATATAATTGGAAATCATGGAGACAATTTAATAGCTCTTCTTCATGATGTAGATTTACATATATTAAATCCATCAAGGAATCTTATTGATAAATTGTATGTATTTTTATGTAAATAAATATAGAAGTTAAAAATAAATTTGAATTTGATAATTTTAACGCAATTTTGTTTAATAATTACAGACATAAAACAGGTAAAACAGGTAGAATGCCAACATGTATAGCTGGACATCCAGAAGAAGAATGTGTTGCCACAGGAGATACAACTGGTCGTGTGGTAGTATGGAAGGGTTTATATCAAACAAGACCTTACACAGCTGTTTATCACTGGCATACACTACCTGTTACAGAAATAATATTTAGTAAATCAGGTATATTATATACATTTTAATATATTTAAAAAAATTTTAACATATATAGTAATTGTGTATGTCATAAAAATTACAGGTGGTCACATGTACACAGGAGGAGGAGAATGTGTATTAGTGAAATGGGTTTTAGCAAATCCACATCACAAATCATTTCTTCCTCGATTACCTGCACCAATTAAACATCTTACTATTGCACCAGATAATTTATATGTTGCTGTATCCACTTTAGATAATGGTGTGAATAGTTTTAAATGTTACAGTATTACTTGTATCTTTTTGTATACAATTCACATTACTAATATTTTCTATCATAAAATAAAATATTATAGGTATTGTAGTAGTAAATCCACAAAGAAAATTGACATCAGTTATACAAAATTTTACATGGGGTGTGACTTTGTCTTCTAAAGATTTATTTCCTGCTGGTCTAATTGTTGATCCACGAACAAATTGTTTAGTTTTAAATAGTCGTACCGGGCATGTTCAATTTTATAATACACATACGAAAAGTTTATTATATAATGTAAGTCACGGTATAAGAAAAATGTATTAAAAATCGTATATATTATCTATATCGCTTAGTAATATATCAATACATTTTTAGATAAATATCACAGCACAAAATTTTTTAACTCAAGAACGTAGTGTAATTATCGTAAACACAGAAGTTACAAAAATAGCGTTAAATTATAACGGTACATGGATGGCAACTGTTGAAGAGCGAAACGATAAAGTCTCTTGTATAGAAGTAAGGCTGAAGTTTTGGATGTATGATACTAAACAACAGTTGTAAGTATAAAATACATATCTTTGATATGTAGATATTAAAATATTGTATTGACATGTTAGATTTGCACTGAACACATCAATCGAACTTCCTCACGATGGCGGTGTTAATGCTTTACATTTCCAACCGAGCACATTATTTGATGAAAATGGAGCACTAGCAGTTACAACTGGCATGGATAGAAAATTTAAATTATGGCACCTTGTAGAACCTTCATCTATATACAGTATGTAATATTTTACTATTTTATTCTTTTCTTATATTGCAATGAATTGTAGCATTGAGTTTCGAAATTCAATTTGTTTTAGAAAAGACGAAACACTGGCAATGCCATAGTATAGGAGATTATAGAAATTTGCCTGCATCAGATGCTGGTTTCTCAATTGATGGTTCATTAATTGGAATTGGTTTTGATTCTAGTGTGACAATGTGGACACCTGATACTTGTACATTTAAATGTAGTCTTACACATAGTCAATATCAATATCCAGTGACGTAAGTTCTAAAAAATATGATAATGTTATCATAATGAATCATAAGAACAATATTAGTGTTACTATTTATATTTCATTAGACGAATTGAATTTGGGAAACAAGAAGCATGTCATCTTCTGGTAGCAGCTTCCGCGCAGCACATAGCAGTATGGAACATTCTCTCGCTTACGTTAATATGGAGCGTACATTTAAAAGTTGCTACTCTTACAGCAGATCCAAAGTCGTCATACATGGCTGCTTTCACAACTGATAACTCATGTAAGTTAATTATGATTTCTTTCAAAAAGTATCAACTATCATTTCTACATACAAGTTAATCTATTAATTTCAGTATTTATATTCGCACCCCAAAAGTCGACACCCGTTTATACGAGACAAAATGTTATTGAAAATAGTAGTTCCATCTTAGCAGCTACTTTTGTACCACATTTACAAGTAAAACGAGATTCATCGTACAGACTATGGCAACGAAAATCGCAACTCTTCTTTTTAGATTCTAATCAAGTATGTGCCATGATAAGTATATATAAGATAATTTGGTATAGAAAAATGTTTCCGAAGTTGCTATACCTTTTTATTAAATTACCTTCTATAATATTTATATAAACCATGAAAAAAACGTATATTATTTTGTTTATAGGAATTATTCACATTGGAACCCGAATCCGAGGTGACTATTTCCCTTGAAATTTTGTCTACAAATACTGTTCCCGCGACCGCTTTTGGTGGTTTAATAGCAGCTAAAACTACTACGGATAAGGAAACAGCTACCCCGTTTGTGCATGAACAATTAGGAGTAGCAGGAAAAGGAATGGTGGAAGAAGTAAGTAAATATAAATATACTTTCGTAATTTATATCTTATAATTAACAAATATATGATTTAACAGGTAGGTGATATTCATTTCAAAATTTTTGCAATAAAAAAAATAATTTTATTCTAAAACATGTTCTCATCTTATGATAAGATCAAAGACCGTTTGTACACGCAATTTCTCATATAATGTAGTATAAATAATTAAGTAGGAAACATAAAAGTACAAGTAATATCAATAACTTAATACAATATGTAGTAGATTTTATTGAAGTTTTTTTTGTAGGAAAATGAAAATTATTAGTCTTATGAGAATTAGTCTCATTTTTCTACCTATTTTTTCGTTCTTCTCTTTTTCTTTTTCTAATATATACAATTTAAATGTTGAAAATGAAACTCGAAGTCTTAGAAACAGTCTTGAAATAACAAAATATGAAGATTTAAATTAAAATCTATATAAGTGATATTGTTCCATTTATCAACTAAGTTTATAGGTAATTTACAAGTTCGTTATAGAAGTATTATTATAATTTGTTACATCTCATCTTATTTTTATATAAGTTTGAATATGTGCATTAGAACATTCAGAACAGCTGGTCGATGAAACTTGAAATACGGTGATTTATTTGTTGTGGTCGTCCATCCGGAATTACGATGATTTTGTATTTGTCAGTGTTTCCTTCCTAAACGATAATTTCGACAGCGGCGTACAAGATCGAATTTTCTGTAGCGTAGACAATGCCATTGTGGAATTTGTCGCATATTCTCAATTGCCTGCAAGTTATACATCTTAAAAAAATAATTGACTATATTTAATAAAACTCAAAGAATCGTTTACACTATAGAACAAATATAAATAAACTTAATAATCATTTTGATAAGAGAAGAGTCGCAATCTGAAGTGCTCTTTTCCTTATGCGAAACTTTAAACAAATTTGCGTTGAATTTATTTGTAAATTACTTTTATTATTTTTAGTTGCATTAAATCCAAGGTATTTAGAAAACTTTCAAACCTAATACTTTAGAAGATGAAAGAAATTCGTATTATCTAAAGAAGATTTAGTTATTTTTATAAACAAATTTTTAGAGAAAATCACAATGAAATTATTTTTATACAAAAGTTACTAAACCCAAATGGTATTGCAATTTTAATATTACAATAAAGTATTATATTACTTATGTACCTCAAATTATAAAAAGAGCATAGTGACAAAATTTATAAGAATATTATCCAGATTGCAATCTTCTTTCAAAAAATTAATTACAGTCGATCGATTTGGAAGGAATTTTCACAAATATAAGCTTTGTTTACAATTTTTACACCTACAGTTCAGTTTGATTAGATATACTAATACGTATGGAGAAAAGAGATTGATTTAATAAGGACCGTTCGCGAGCAACGTTCACTTGTTCTTGCAATATTATTAGAGAAATTCTTATCCATTAAAACTGAAAGCATCTTTCAAAAAGTTATAGTAACAAGTTATAGAATAACCTATATATACGATTAATTTGAAATTCAATTATAGCTCGATCTCTACAAGAATGCTTTGTCTGTTATAACACGAATATCGATGACCGAATTATGTCATCTCAAGCGAAATTATCGGTACACACGTGTAATACGTATTTCCCTCTATCTATTTGCTCCATTTTGTTAATACAAACTTGCGCGACCTAACGATAACATTCTCTGATTGCCAGAAAAGCGTGACTCATTAAACTATCATTTTAAAGCATTTAATAATTATTTTAGGCATAAACAAGGATAGATGGTCGAAATGAAGTACGTTAAAGATTTCAGAAAGAATAAGCTGCTTCGTTTTCAGGGGTACACCCTAATCTAAGAATTTCTGGATATTCTCCGGACATCACCAGTTGCTGCATAACGTGACTCATGATCGTGTCTTTCTACACACGTCTGTTCTATCGTTCATTTCACCGCTTCTACGTGCCTAATTCGCCAAGAGGAACGCGACTTTATAAGTCAAAGCCCTAACGAGTTGCCCACGCATTACTTTCAGCACGTGGCTGAATTTCAAACAAGATCTACATAGAGAAACGATGCTTCGAATCATTCATGGAGAAAGAAATTAAAGCAAAATTTAGTATACGGTAAATAAAACACGTTGCACACGAGCAAATTAAAGTATTGTAATATAACGAGAGTATTATTTTTAATAATTTTGAAAGAACTAACGAAAACTTGAGAAACAGTAAAAAGAAACTAAGTTTTACAGTTTCATAAAGAAGATACTATCCGAAGAAAGGTACTTACTATCTCTGGATTGCTGGCAGGATATGCAGACGTGGCAACAGCTAGAAAGAAGATGACTATCAGAACGCACGACACAAAACTCCACGCTGTAAACTTCATGCCCGAAATTGTCGGTGACTAACGTTGGAAACTCCTATTTTTAATGTTCCTGGTTCACGAGGAGATTTACTTCAGGAATGCAGTCACCAACTTGCCTCTTCAGTAAAATATTTAAAAATTCTGTTAATCACAAATATACTTGAAAGTTATTTGATTGAAGAATGTCAGAGAGACTATAGAATATTCTTATAAGACTTCCATGTCTTCTGTTTAAATGTACCTTTTCTCTTCGTTTCTATATTTTATTTTTCAACGAAAAATGTGATGTTCTTCACCAGGACGTGTTCGAGGAAGGATAGAAAATAACGTATTGCTGATAGAACAATAGATGAAGAATCACCAAGGAAGAGTTTCTTGCTTGAGCGTTCAACGTAGGACTGACTTTGGGAAGTGGCCTCGCCATGATTTAATATAGGAGCTACTTCTCCGCACTCCCACCCTCTCACGGCGTTCCAGTTGTCCCTCTGACCTAGGGCATTGTCTTCGACGGGGAAACCTTCGGCACGCGCCGCTCAAGGAATCATCTCGATCTTCCCGGAAATCATCAAATTGCAACCTGAAATCACAGCCTGAATAATTCTTTCAAATATCCGATCTTTAAATTCCTTGCCATTATCTGCGGATAATTTCAAAGAACTTTCGAATATTGACATACTCGTAACAAATATCGATATATTCGTTATGAATCGATAAAAAAGAAGTAGAAAGAGAAATGATATTTTAGCTCTCATTCATTCTCTTTCAGAACAATAAGGGGTTCGCAACCGGTCTACAAGCTAAAGGTAGAAGCAATATCAGAAATAAACTAACTGTTTGATATCACGGTCACATGCGAGCATTCCAAGGAACAATAGATGTCGATCTTGAGAAGGGATGTCCACGTGTATCGCTACAAAATTTCACCGCTTTAAGGCCAATGCAAAATCAATAGACCGAGTTTCCCTTATCGTGAGCGAGCCGGTGCAACAAGTAGACGAGAGAGAGCTTCGTCTCAAATGTCTCGTACACTAGGCTATTCTGTATGTGATCATTTAAATGAACTCGATAATATCAGCTTGTCTAAAAGTTAAATCTTGTCCCATTTGGAGTCCGCCTTTAGCGTCTGGAGGCTAAGCAAATTAAGGATCATCACGAGTTTCTGCGGTCCTTAAGGTCGTATGGTCACTAATGATGGAGTTGCGAAGAAGACGCATTGGATAATTATTTCTAAAGGATTATTCAGAGTTTCGTACATGCTATCGTTCTATGGAACGATTTCCCTGGAATGTAGAAAATACTTTTATTATTTTTATGTAGCTTTGCGCGTTTAAAATTTAATAATTATAATTTATATAGAATTTGGAATAATCGCAACTATGTAAATGTTGAAAATAGGGTTTACATTGTTATATCTTTTTTAGTTCTTTCGAGCAATATATTGTAGACCTTCGTATTCATTTTACATATGTGTGGAAATATTTTAAAAGAGAGAAGAGTGTTTTCAATTTTAAGGGTGTCTGGATGACGTCATAAATGTGGACGTAAAACGTCGCAGCCGGTAATTAATTATTACGTCTACGTCGTTACTTAGTAGACGGATATCCGCCAGCTTTCTTGCAAATTGCGTCAGTTCTATGGAATCGTGGACTTAATTGTTTACCAGCCTCATCGTCATAGTTTCTCTTTATGTCTCATATTGCATTTCAGATGCATAGCAAATGATTAGACGTTCTGTACGATATTAATAAGCAATTACTGCTTTTAACAACAATTACTTATTGCTTCTTACAATATTGTATGATATTTCTTCTAATCTCAGCTAATGGATTATATATTTCATACCGATTTAAATGTTAATACCGAGCATCACTTTGTGGTATATTATTATTTAAGCAATTTATTCGCTTCGTTATTTATTCCAATTTATTAATTTATTCTGTATCGATAATTTATCTTACTATACTTTTACCTTTCTCTCAATATTTTCTCGATGTACCAACACGCTCACATTCGGTCCGATAAGAGTGATAGATCGCTCGTGAGGCGAAGCTTCAGTTTTAATTAAGTTTTCGATTCTTCCGAGAGATTAACGAGCTGGAAGGTAAAGTTCCAGCGGCCAACGAGGAAGAATCAAAACTTTCGACAGTATGTTCCTTTATTCATTCTCGTTACGGTTTACAATGAAGAGC